CGGGCGATATAACGCCTCGCTCTCACGTGTAGGTCACTGAAACCGGGAATTCTGTGGCCGGAACTGAAATCGGACTCCAGAATCTGGGCCTCATCGGCGAAGGCTCTGCCATGTCGGTGATGCAGTAGGCCGTGCAGATCTCGATGGACGGCCATGACGGCCAACGACGAACTGGGCCGATAAACTCGCCGCGTCGATCCGTAACGTGGCTCAGCAAACTTCCTATCACATCACACCATGCAAATATGTGAGCCATCGTGAAAATGGAAGCCAAGCATAAACCACGCACCATCTCAACGTCGCAATTTCGCCGGCACTTAGACCCTCACTGATTATCTGCATTTCAAATCTGCATTTCAAATTGTATACTCATACATACCGGACCATTTTCAATCCTAGGATGGCTCGTGCATTTCGAAAACAGTAGTCAGAAGAGTCGGATGCTGGAGGGCGAGGCGCAACAGCACCGTAGCAGAGCTGGAGTCGCGCGATCGAGGTGGAGAGAACATAGACAAGAGGGGTGGCGGTGCGCACATAAGATATGGCTCATGTAGACGACTTCGAGCCTGGACAGGCGCGCAAGTCAGTGGAACACGAGTTCCGAGTGCGATGCTCGCTATGGAAGTTGTGTGTTTTCAGGCATCACGAACAGTACAGGTTAAGTCAGTTACGTTTCTTTTACTTTCTCTGCTCAGTTTGGCAGATCTGGGGTTTCGACCGAGACACTGGCCATTCCTGCTGGTCCATAACGCGTTCCCGGAAGTTCGGCGGCCTCTGCGATGGCTCGAACTTGGGCGATTTCTTCATCGCTGAGCTTGACAGCCGCCGCGCCCAAGTTCTCTTCCAAGTACTAGTAGCAAGCAATCAGCGCTTGACGTGGGAGCGGTCAGCCTAACAGACCTTAATCTTCTTCGTCCCAGGAATGACGACAAAGTCGGGCCCTTGGGCAAGGATCCACGCGAGAGTGACTTGACCGGCACTCGCCTTGTGTGCAGCTCCGATGGCCTTCAATTCCTCAACCACCTTCAAGATCTTGGGAAAGTTTTCGCGCGAGTATCTGTCGGCCATATCAACGCTAGCTGAAGGAGACACGGAGGCTAGACGGACTTGGGAACACTGTGGCGGAAGTCACCAGGCTCAAAATCATCCGGCGATTTCTGGCCGGTGATTCAGAAGAGTATATGCTATCGAAACATGACTCACGTATTGACCAGTCAGCAAGCCTCGTCCAAGAGGTGAATAAGCGACGATGGTCACTCCGAGCTCACGTGCAGTCTCAAGCAACGCAATCTTGGGATCTTCGATGTCCAACACAAACGGCGAGTACTCGATTTGGAGTGCGGCGATTGGATGGACAGCGTCAGCGCGACGAAGGTCTCGGGCGGAGCATTCAGAGAGACCGATGTATTTGGTCTTCCCCTCCCTTGTGTTTAGAAGATTATCACCCATCAAGACCGTAAATAGCATACGATAAGACGCACTTCACGAGCTCGGCCATCGCACCGACTGAAATCTCGATGGGGGTTTTGGGATCCACACGATGGAGGTAGAATAGATCGACACGATCCACACCCAGACGTTGAAGGGACAGAGCCATCTGCTCCTTGATGAAATCAGGTTCACCGCAAACGCCCACACCGGCCTTGAACCCGCACTTCGTTGCTAGAAAGATGTCCTCCCGCTTGCCTGTGCGTTTGAACCTGTTGAGTAGGCAGATGCCGAGCGTGGTCAGGGATTGAGACATGCTTAAAATGTGACCTCACACGCACCACTTTCCAAGAAGTTCTTCGGAATCGTTGTAGATATGGGCAGTATCCCAGTGAGTACAGCCTCCTGAGAATACAGCGTCCAAAACCTGACATAAGGAAACGATGAGGGCATCAGTGGAGGGATCGGGTTTGCTAACCTTGAAACGATCCTCGTCAGCCTCGGTGGCACCATAGAAGGCCGAGAGTCCCATGGCACCAAATCCGATAGGAGGGACTTCAGTCTGCCCGATCTTTCTTGCAGTGAGGGTCATTGCTTGCAGTAGGATGTTCAGAGATGAGGCGAGGGAAAGAACACAAGGATTTGATGACCGCTAGATAGGCACTAGTTCATAGTGGATTTGGTAATCATGCTCGCCAGTTGCACGCCTTTCTGTCCAAGTAAGTAAGTCGCTGTACAACAAGGTCTACACAAGTAATGATGTCACTCTGTTTTTTATCCCTCTCACGATAAAACTAGCAAGGTGTTGCGCCCACTCGCGCATGAGACGTAAAACGAGCAAACATCTGTTTAGGTAACGCCAGGAGCTGAAGCAATTGGATTGTATATCAAGAGGTGATCACGCTTGGAAAATGACCGGTTATCGAGGCCTCAGCAGGCATGGATAAATCACGAGGGGACGTGACAAATGTTTCTTTCTCTTGAACAGCCATCTGCCACAACGCGTTTCTCGAGGCCGGGTCTCATTTTACTCAATCACCCACAATCTCTTGTTCGTCCGATTACTACATAATAATGGTCTGTCTTTCCATTGGCAGTGCCGTCCAAGCTAGCCTCCATGCCGATCGTTCGGTCCTCCTCGAGATTCTTCACTCAAAAGCAAGATTGGAACAAACTCGCGCACTTTCTGTTCGGCTCCGTGCTCCAACCGCATCGGCGCATGCTATGGCACCGCTACCGACCTCGACGTCAACGAGTTAGCTCGATCTGTCAAGGCACTGGTCCAGGAAATGCGGCGCCGGGCACAAATGGCGTTCGGTTTGCTCGCTTCCGTCACATTGGGGGTATATAGAACGGGTCTGAATAGGATTGGCTTCGATATCCTGTTCTATTATGACTTATTTCATCATCCCACACTGGTGGAATGTGAGTGATGTTACGCTATCATGCTTCCGCAATTCGCTGACTGCCGCCCCGCCCATTACCTAGTTGCCTGTCTTCCTGGCACTCATCTATCTTGGATTGACGCGCATCCAGTTGGAGTCGCACAATCTGTATGACACCTACAGCGATGGCGAATTTCCCGTTTTGTCGTGCGAAGGAGTAAATACGAGTGAGCTTTCCAGATCTGATGTCGCGGCGCCTCTGAAGAGCAGACGCAGACGCAAGGACGCTTGACGGGCTATGCAATAACCTCACCGTCCCCGGAATGGGCTCCGTCAACACCCGGTTCCATCGTTTTGTGCCTATCAACGACACCTGGTCGGAGTCCGGTGGAACCTTGTATACGCCCAACCCCCGGCTGATCAGCCAGAAGATACTCACGAGGGAGACGTTTACGCCGGCCACTTCAATCAACATGCTCGCCGTTGCGTGGATTCAGTTCCAGACACACGATTGGTTCAGCCACGGCGCCGAGAACGATCCCGACTCGGAAGACATGCTTATTTGGGACCTGCCTCGCGACGATCCCCTTCGTGCCACGGGGCAAACGAACATGACGTTGCGCCGCACAGTATTCCAAACCCACGACGGCCGACCCAACACATACACAAATACCCAGACCCATTGGTGGGATCTCAGCCCAATCTATGGCGTCGACGATGCCACGCATATCAAATTGCGTTCCTTGGTGGATGGGAAGATGAGGGTTGCTGAGGACGGGCTATTGCCGAGGAATGAGGAGAACGGGATCGATGCAACAGGATTCAGCGACGACTGGTGGGTTGGACTGTCGCTGATGCACAACATATGGACGAAGGAGCACAATGCCGTGGCAGACATGTTTAAGCACGCGTACGTTCTCGTTCCTCTCCTTAGCGTCGCCAGCAGCTGACGAACCCTCGAAGTTATCCCTCTTGGAAGGACCAGGAGATCTTCGACCACGCTCGTCTCGTCACTTGCGCCCTGAACGCGAAAGTGCACACTGTCGAATGGACACCTGCCTTGCTGCAGGATGAAACGCTGCAGATCGCCATGGACGCCAACTGGTACGGGCTCGCCCCAGAATGGCTTCGGGGGTTCCCCAACATATTCAATCAGCAGATTGCACAAGTCTGGTTCGGGATCATGGGAGGCAAGCCTGATTTCGCGGGTGTACCGTTTGCGCATAGCGAAGAGTTCGTGAGTGTGTACCGGTTCCATTCGCTACTTCTAGACGCGATTACTGTGCTCAATCACACCGATGGATCGAGCACTGGAAAATCATACGACATCAACGAGTACACCTTTTCCAATGCTTGGGACGTTGTCCACGACAACGACTTCAGCGACCTAGTCTTCACTTTTGGCGCGGACTATCCTGGCGCACTCCAGCTCGGCAACTACCCGAAGGCTATGCAGAACCTGAAGAAGCCTGGAGTGTCTTATGCCCTGGACATGGGCGCAGTCGACATTATCCGTGACCGTGAGCGTGGTGTGCCGCGGTACAACGAGTTCCGACGACTCTTCTCACTCATTCCGGCAAAGACAATGGCCGACATCTCCGACAATCCGGCCACCGTTGCCGCGCTCCGCTCGGTCTACGGTGAGGACGTTGAAAGCGTTGATATGCTTGTCGGGTGTTTGGCCGAGAGCCCTCGCGCAACCGGATTTGCGTTCAGCAACACCCAGTTCCAAGCGTTCATTCTCGCTGCATCGAGGCGGCTGATGACAGACCGGTTCTTCACCACTGATTACACTCCCGCAATTGTAAGCCCCCTACATTTGAAGTGCGATGTTTGCTGACGTCGTCTCCAGTACACTCAAGAAGGATTAGACTGGATCGCAAACTCGGATTTCCGTCAAGTTATCGGACGGAACATGCCTGAACTCAATGCTTCAGCCCATTCCGTGGACAATGCGTTCAAACCATGGGTGGTGCCCAGAACTAAGTAAATTTAGTGAAGTACAAGTGCAGTGTATCAATACTCTATCGGTATTCAGATACGATTACATTGTCGTTTTCTCGCACATGAACGCTCGAGCTGCACTAGGCACCAATCAGTGCTCGTCATGCCTGTATTGTTTGCTGAACCGCAGTCAGTTGCCTGTCAGTCCTGACCTCCAACTTGAACACAATGTAAACCAGCGCTTTCGGAATTCAGTGATGATCGACGAGCTCTGGAAGCGAACGGAAGATATGGAACAGTCATTCTGTACTATGTGGATACGTGTTCTGTTCGAAAGAGTCCGATGGCCTCAGGCTGTTCATCTCTCTCTTCCTGCAGTCTTCGTTGGCTCCTCAAGTGGTCCTCAAGTACCAGGGCGTCTGATCAAAGTCGCGCGAAAGACTGCCCCGGTGGCGACCTCCCCCGCTTCCAAAGGTAACCCGGCCAACATGTTCTCCAACAGTGGATAGTTCGAACTGATTTAGCGTCTCGTCAATATTGGGAGTTGCTAGGCTTTTGATGTTCAGGATAACCCTTGCTCCGATTACTGCAATCAGTCTCATGCGAGTCAGTTGGTGCACGAGAATATCGAATCACCAGGTATACTTACGATGTACCCGGTCTGGGAAGCTAATATATAGTTTATCGCACAAGCACAATGGATCCACTCACACAATGGGGACTTCAGCCAGACTTGCTCTGCCATTGCGCCACAGAATCAGCTCGGTGGTAGACACAACTGAGAACAGGTCAGAAGAGATTAGATTGGATCATTAAGAGCACCACAGCCTACGTGAGATAGCAAGGAACCAGAATACACCGTCCCTGAGAAAAACTGTCATGACGGGTGTCTTGACCAGCCCCGTGGACATGGATTGCCGACACTTGTGTACAGTCATGGCAAACATCGTAAATGCCTAAGCGAATTGGAAAACAAAAACACGGGAAACCGGTGGACAGACAAACCACAATGGATGGAAGGACAGCCCAATATGTCAACAATCTAGAAACATCTGGCCCAGAAATCAGTAAATCTTGAAATTAGTTGATCATAGCACGTACTCAACGAAAAACAACCGGGCACACCTCAGTTACCACCGCCAACCCCCCATATAGACCCCGCGGGGGACCTCCTGGGTACCCTTAGACGTAGCTCTATGGGTACCCAGGAGGTCCCCCCCCGCGGGGGTACAGACGGCAGCTGGCCATTTTGGGGCAGGGGGATGGGCGGGGGTCAGGACGGGGGTCAGGACGGGGGTCAGGACGGGGGTGCCCATACATACCATGTGACTTGTCCATAAGAGCGGTAGCTGGGCGGGAAAAAAAAATCAATCACGTGGGGGACCAGATGGGCGGGATGCGGCGGGAAAGTGTCACGTGCTGCGCAAACAATTTTTTTTAAAAATGTTGGCGGGGGCTGGCGGGGGTGTTAGCGGGGTCGCTACCGCCCCTGCCGCACACCGCGGCGGGCAGTGGGCGCATTATCACGTGACTTCTTTGGGCACCTTTTCGCACCGTTTTGCATGATTTTGGAGGTGCTGGTTGATACATTGCATGTTGTGGCAGACAGTGGGCGGAAAATCACGTGATTCTCCGCCAGAAAAAAAATGGAAGCCTCTCTAAATCATCCCAGTATGATTTCCATAGGTAAATACACTAATTGACAATGCATTTGAGCTTAGAAAATCCCAAATGCACCCTGCACAATAGGATTGTTGATGCACTTGATCCCATCATCTGACGGGGTCTGCCGCGGGGTCAGTCTGGCATATTCTATATGTGACCTCCTTTAGCAGTAGCAGTAGTGCTGCTGACCACCAGGGCAAGAACACAAACGGTTATGAAATATATTATCGAGGTATACAACGCCAATAGGGCAGGTGAAGATGTGTAACTGAATATTGCAATTGATGCAGGGCCCAGTGCGGGGTCTGATGCGGGGTCTGATGCGGGGGCAGGGGTGGGTGTTTCGCAGGGTTGGTGTATCACAATGATCCCACAAGCTTCTTCTTGCAGGAAAAGCAGGCAAAATTATCCACTATGCAGAGAATCTGCTGCATTATTGGATTGGTTCAATCATACAAGTGATTGCATCATATTGGTGGGGTATGTGGCGGGGTCATAGCCGGGGGTCAAAATGTCCTGAGAGTCATGCAAAGAAGCTGAAATTTGTATCGTGAACGCTCCTTAAATTCCTAATCTCTGCGGGCAATCTAGTCGCTTCAATTTTGGGTGGGGCCAGTGGATTTTTGTGTGCAATTTGACCCTATTGGTCAATCAGCGAGTGGTCCGCAAACGTTCACATGTTCTGACCGCGTGTATTTGACCGCAAGGAAAAACAGGTAATATGATGTCCTCCGTTGATATGAAAGGCCCATGCAGGGATAGCTGCCCTGTGTTTCGGGGAACCTTAGCAAGGATCACTGTCCCTCGATTCCAGTCATTTCCATGATGAAAAAAAAACATCTACGATAATCTAGCATCCCAATGATAATCTTGCATCCCAATGCAAGATTATCATTGGGATGCTAGATTATCGTAGATGTTTTTTGAGAATTTCTGACGGGGCACAGAGGAAGGGGGCAATCGAACATTGTGTCACATTAGGTCTACATAGAGTACAAACTTGAATCAAAAAAAAGCAAGATTTGAGCGCGCGGAGGTCATCAAGAAGACATGTACAGCGACCTCCCAAGTTACGTATGCCAGCCTCACAGAACAACCACCACAGCCCTTACTTCTTGCTCAGCTCGTCCCGAACGACACTGCGAATGGTGCCCGCCATCATCTGCTGGAATCCCGCAGAGCTGAACAAGCTCATCATTGCGGCGGTGGGGTCAACTGGTGCAGGGGCAGCAGCGGGGGTCGACGCGGGGGGTGCCGCGGGGGGTGCCGCGGGGGGTGCCGCGGGGGGAACCCTTGCTCTCACGTTGGTTGGGGTGGACTCGGATTCCGACGCTGCAGCCGCACCCGTGGCTGCGGCCCGTTCTTGGGTGGTCTTCGAACGGGGAGCTTTTGCGACGGGAATATCCTCAAGCGTCTGCTTCGAGCTACTGGCAACGGCGTTGGCTTGTTGGCGGCGACGAGGACGTGGGCGTTTCTGGGGTGGCGCCTTGATGACTTCCTCTTCGCTTTCGGCCCCGGAGTTCATGGGCGAGGGCGCGTTCATTTGCGCGTAATGACGCTTGTCGGCTTTGGGCATAGAGCGCGTCATGACCACTGGGAATAGTTTAGACCGTTTCTTAACCTTTGGGAGAACGAAACCGATGGGGACGTTGTCATGTCCATAGAGAGTGGCAAGGTACTGACCATCAGACGTGGGGGGGTTCTTGACAGGAGTTCGAGAAATCTCCGCGCCGTCAAAAGTCGGCTCGTCTGCGCTCGGTTGTTCTTGGTCCTCCTTGCCGACCACGGATCCCTCTGAGGGAGACTGGGCGCTTGGCACATACTCTGAGCCAGTGGTCGACTCGAGGCGTTGCTTGCCTCCACCCACTTGATGTTGCTGAGTGGCCTGGGCAGCGCTTGCCTTGCCGCGCTTCGGATTGCGACGTGGGGCCGGTGTCTCGGGCGCGGGTGGAGCCTTGCGTTTCTTTGACGCAGCCTGGGGCAAAGCTCGTTGTGGCGTCACTGGTGCCGCGGGGGCTGGCGCGGGGGCGGGGGCTGGCGCGGGGGCTGGCACGGGGGGTGCTGCAGGGACAGCACCACAACGTTTCCGTGGAGGCGTCCTCACTGCGACACCAGTCCCAGAGGTAAGGGAAGATGTGGTGGGGATGGCAGGCAAGGCATAGTCACCCGATTCGTTTTTGACAACGATGCTGAAATCGAGATATCGTTGCGATGGGTCCGGATCTAGAAGATTCAGACGGAAGTAACACGGGTCTCCCTGTCCGGTCACTCCCAGCAAGAACTCCGAGCCACTGAAAACGATGGAGGTCGCCAAACCCTGTGGGAACACGGCCAATACAGGCATTCCTGAAAGGCACATGAGGTCGTTTAGGATGCATTGTCAGAAAAAATGACGCACTGGGATCCCGGCAGTCATTGGCAAAAAATGAGATGCCGGCTGGCTTGTGACAATCAACCCAAAAACAAAGTCGAAAAGAGAAGTGAATTCGAAGACTGGAGAATACAACCAAGTAGCTACAGTATTTATACCTAAATCCAGTCTGAGTCATATCTACAACTAATGAGTCATAGGGCTATGTACCGCATGGAGCACTGGTCATGGGTTGTAGTAGAACCTTCCGGAGCATATGTCGCGCAGCCTCGAATCGATAGAGATAACCCCTGGAACCCCTAGCCCGGACCGTCTGATGCCGTGATCCGTGATAAGATAAGTCGTGCCAAGATAAGATAAGATCGCCGATGATAAGATGAAAAAGAGTCGAATTATGACATTACCCCCTCTCTAGGGTCGATGTCCTCATCGACTAGGCCGATGGGCGTGAAGACGTTTTCGTAGGGATCGAAGAGTTGTCGCTGGGGATATGGAAGGCGCTCGTCTTTGGGTTTGTAGCGATGGATGAGATAATCCCAATGTCCGGCTTCGAGAGTTGGTAGGAGGCGAATGCGTGTGTCTGGGTTGGATTGTTTCCTCTGCCAATCTCTCAGGACCTTCTTCGCGTGGGTAAGGTGACGTGATGGTTCCCAGGTGTTCTCGCTGTGCGGCCATCCCTTCCATTTGACCAAGTACTGTTTTCCTCGGCCGACTTTTCGCTCTTTCACGATTTCTTCGACTTCCCACTCCTCTGCTCCTCCGATCATCTTGGCCACGGGTCTCTTCTCTCGGCGATGGGGGGGTGGTTCGTGATAGGGTGTCAACAGTGACTCGTTGAACACCGGGTGTCTTCGGTCCGTGTCCGGCAAATTCAGCTTCCATGCAGCCGCTCCAACCTTCTCCAGTATCTCGTATGGCCCCAATCTCTTGTCGCTCATCTTCTTTGATGGTCGATCCGTCTCGATATTCTCCCCTTCTATGTACACCTTCATCCCAACCTTCAACTCCGGAACTTCTTTTCTTTGTTTATCGTAGTATTTTTTCATTTTTTCTTTTGCTTTTTCTAGTGCTGCTTTTGCTTCGTCTTGTATTTCTTTGATTCTTTTCACAAATTCCTCCGCCGACTCGTTTCTCGACTCCATCCGTTGCTCCACTCCCTTCCACGGGTGATATCCGTGATTCGCATAGAATGGCGATACTTTGGTGGACGTGTTCATCTTGTCGTTATATGCGAACTCCGCCATTCCCAGCCACTCCGACCAGTCCGTTTGATGGTAATTGACGTAGATGCGGAGATAATGCTCGATCTCCTGATTCATGCGTTCTGTCTGCCCATCCGTGATCGGGTGATATGCGGTCCCCGGGTTCATTTCCACGCCCAACATCCGATTCGTCTCCCTCATGAAGCCCTTGATGTAACGCGAATCCCTGTCGGTGATGATCTTGCGAGGGATCCCGTGGTAGCGGAAGACTCGGTCCCTGGTTAATCGTGCCACTCCTTCGCTGCTGATGTCAGTACTGATTGGTTCGACATGGATCATTTTGGTGAAGGTGTCACACCACACATGAATTGCGTCATACCCGTTACTGACCGGCAAGGGTCCGATCTGATCCATGGAGATGATTTCCCACGGCGCGTTTGGAACTGCATGCGGGTGCAAACTCCCTGTCCTGGCTCTTCTGGTCTTGGTCCGCTGGCACGCTTCGCACGTCTGGATGTATTTCCGAATTTGGTTCCCCATCCTTGGCCACCAGTAGTTCCTTTCCACCATCTCCTGCGTTCGGTTGGTCCCAGCGTGTCCGACCAAAGGGGTGTCATGGTGTAGTCCGATGATCTTGTCCCGCAACTCCTCGTCCCTTGGTACATAGAGCTTCCCATGATACGTGATGAGCCCATCTTCCTTCTTCCATCCGACGAGTGACTTCTCCAAGGCCGCCTTGACGCTTCCATCAACTGATCGAATGGCCTTGATTTCATCGATTAGCTGCTGATCCTGTCCCTCAAATGTGACTTCTTGTGATCGGAAAAACTCGGGCTTTAGTAGCGTGACGTCCTTGTTGTTGTTCTTGCCCTGATCGTGATCTGCTCGTCGAGATAAGAGATCCGCTTTGCGGTTGAGTGCGCCGGGCCGGTGTCGTAAGGTAAAATCGAACTCCGCCAACTCCGTGATCCATCGTGCTTGCCGTCGATTGAGCTTCTGCGGCTTCCGGAAGTACTCGAGATTCTGATGGTCGGTGAAGATCTCGAACGTCTCCGTGGCTCCCAGGAGTAACTGCCTCCATTCGTCAAGCGATAACATGATTGCGAGCATTTCCTTGTCGTAGATCTCGTAATTTCGCTCGGTTTCGGTCAGTGCGTGCGAAATAAATGCGATTGGGCGCCAAATGCCGTCTTGGTTTTGGCTCAAAACTGATCCCGTTGCCCCTTCCGAAGCATCGGCTTCCAGACAATATTGGCCAGTGTCATTTGGCAGTGCTAGGACCGCATCCTCCGCGATTCTCTTCTTCAATCCATCAAATGCCGCATGCTCATCTGCACCCCATGACCATCCTGCCTTTCCTGTCAGCCGTGTCAATGGCTTGGCAACCTCCGCGTATCCCCGGACGAAGCGCCGATAGAAGTTTGTGAACCCTAGAAACGCTTGGACTTGTTTGACGCTCTTTGGTTCGGGCCATTCCATCACGCCCTTGATCTTGACTGGGTCCATCCGCATCGAATTGTGTCCAATAATTACACCCAAATATTCGATTTCCGTGCGTTCGAACTCGCACTTTTCAGGCTTCAGGTATAGCTTGTGTTTTTGGAGCAATTCGAGCACTCGTTTCGTGATCCGCCGATGTTCGTTCAAGTTTTCTGTGAAGATCAGTATATCGTCCAGATAGACTACCACGTGACCCTCGTTGATCAACTCTCGGAGTATGTCGTTCATCATGTTTTGGAACGTTGCCGGGGAATTTGTGAGACCGAAGAACATGACCAAGGGCTCATACAGCCCTCGGTTCGTGCGGAATGCAGCCTTCCACTCATCACCCTCTTTGATCCGTACATTGTTATATCCCCACCGGATGTCAAGTTTTGTGAAGAACTTGGCGCCACATAGATTATGGACTAGTTCGGATATCAGCGGCAGCGGGTATCGATTCCGAATCGTCATCTCATTCAGCTTCCGATAGTCTTGGACGGGGCGTAGGGAGCCATCCTTCTTCTTGACAAAGAAGAATGCTGATGCCATCGGTGATTTTGATGGCCTGATCCGTCCACTGGCCAAGTTCTCTTGTAGGAATTCGTCGAGTTTGACTTGTTCATTGCGTGATAACGGGTACACCTTGCAGTCCACTGCCTTGGAACCAGGTTTGAGCTCAATTGCGTGATCCCATGCCCGTCGGTCTGGTAGCGAGTCGAACGATTCCTTGGCGAATACTTTGACAAATTCCCGATATTGATCCGGAATCTTCCCCTCGGTCATCCTCTCCTTCTCTTTCTCCGCTTCTTCTGCGAATTTCTGTGCCGGCGTTTCCTTCAGCCGCAGGTCTACTTCCTTCCCAAAATCGACCAACAAGATCGATTCTCCCTCTTCCAGATCCGGTGTGCCCATGTTCAGGTCAACTGCGTCCATGTCAATCATCGCTTGATGTTCCTCGTGACCCCTCATGTGACACCGCTCTGGGCACCGGCTGAACCTCATGGTCTGCTCCTGCCAATCCACTTCGGGGTTGTGTTCCATCAGCCAATCGAGACCGATGAAGATCCGGGCTTTCCCCAAGCACGTCAGAAGGAACGTGCGTGCCTCCACATGAGGACCGATTCTCATCCTCAGATCGACGTAGTGCGTGATCCGACCGCTGATGTTCTCGGTGTTGTCGGCGTTACGAGCCACAATGGGTTGTGGGAGCTCTTGAATATCCAACTTCTCCGCCCGTGCGTAGTCGGTATCGATGCAACAGGTACTGCAGCCGCTATCGAGCAGCGCCTTGACTCCGCGCGTTTTTCCTGAGTCCAGACCCGTGATCTGGACATATACGTCCATCGAATGTCTCTTCCTTTCGGCCTGGTAGTCGCGCAATTCCTGCGCCAGTCTGCCGGGCTGCGGGCCCTTCTGTTTCTCGGCCGCCGATTTCCTCTGGACGGCATCTGGCACCCTGGTGCGTTTGGGTGCTTCTGGAACCTTGATTTCGGCAGATTCCTTAGGCGCTTCCTCCTTTTTCAAGGATTGAGCCTCCGGAGCGATGCTCCCCTTTTCGGTCTTTGTTGACGTGGTTCCTTCTCCACGAGCCATAAATATGTATGAATCCAAAATTAATTTATCTGCAGCTTTCTGATCCTTTTTACTTTGTAAATACTCCCTATTTAAAGCTATTTTTCTTTGGCGTTCTTTTTCCATATCAGCAATGAGAAAATCGTGAATATTCGTACGTAGTGAGTCCGAGATTGTATATGTATGTGTAGAATCGTTCATGTCTTTAATTGAAACAAGTACAGAAAAACGTCCATAGTCCGGACGCTCCACCTCCTTGGCTAGAGGAGTGGAGCGTTTCAAAAACCCTTCTCGCGCAGCTTCTCGGCAATCTCCTTGAGGAACTCGTTGTCCTTGTCCCCGTTCTCGATCTCTTCAAGCATCGTGGCCCAATTGAAGAATGTGCGCTTCTTTCTTGGTTCCGGGCAGTTCCGCGCAATGTGCCCGGGCTGCTGACAGTTGTAGCAGATGATATTGCGGCCGCGGGCGTGGGTACGATCGATTTCCATCGGAACCGGTTCGTTGGCAGCGGGTCGGGCCGGAGCGGGTGTGGGCGCCACTGGTGCCGTTTGGGGACGGAACTGGGGAGGTGGTCGTTGTGTGGGGTGCCCATACGACGCTTTGCGCAGCTGGTCACGCAGAGCATTGGCTTCGATGTTGATGCACCAGGCTTTGAACGCTCCATAGGCCTTGGGCAGAGGGACACCGGTGTTGTAGAGACGGCTGGCGATCTCGCTGCTGAGTCCGCGCTCCAGGAACTCGATGAGGATATTATCCTGGTCCCCCTTCTTGTATTCGCCTTTGTCGTCGGTGGTGTCGACCACATTGTAGCCTGCATCTGCGGCCAACATCTCAAAGTCGGAGATGTAGTCCGCGAAGGACCGTTTGTTTTGGCGCAGGGCCATAAGCCGAGCAGCGGCGACTTGTTCCGCATTGGAGTCCCCGAACGCCCTCTGAAACTCCTCCAGGAAGTTCTTTGATGTGACTCCTGCCTTCAGTCCCTGGAAGCCCTCGAAGTTGTGCTGCTTCCAGTTCATTGCCCATCTCGAGGCAGCGCAGCTCGTGCCGTTCTCGTTACGGAGGTAGGAGAGGACAAAGAGGATTTTGGTCTCATCTTGCGAGAACTCCGATCGATAGGCACCGATGTAAGTGGTGCACGCGTCCACAAAGCCCAGGTATTTGGACTTGTCGCCATCGAAGTAGGGGGGGTTGGCGGCGAGGGTGATGCGGTGATGCCCTGACATGGTAGGGGCAGACGTGTGAGGTGGGGGCGAGGGTGGTTGTTCGGAGGGCAGTTCGTCGAGGTCGGGGATCTCGTCTTCAGGCGGTGGGAGGGCGAGGTAGGGGTTGGAGGGGCCGGGTTGGTTTTGATGCGCCAGATCGGGCGACGATGGTATGATGGGGGGAGGGGACGGACTCCCAGACGACGATGGGAATCGGTACGAAATGGTGGAATCGTGTGCTGTACAAGCACTCGAGGGAGGGTTCTTTTGCTAGCAAAAAGATCCCGGGCCTAACTCTTCACGTGCCCGATGATCCCGAGGTGCGTTTTCCCGAAGGTCTCCGCAGCACTCCTTGTAGCTACCGTAAGGCTTGGGTCGGGCTCAACGTTACCCGTGGCCTGGTGCTGTTTGCTTGATATGAACCCTTCACTGCGATAGTGGAGGACGACTAGATGATTCGGTAAAAGGGTGAGTGGGGTGATAAGGTTTTAAGAGGATATAGCGGGCGTAGCGGTGCGGGATGCAGGGTAAGAGGTATGAGGTAGGAGGGTATGAGGGGAGTCTTCGAATTATGTGACAATCAACCCAAAAACAAAGTCGAAAAGAGAAGTGAATTCGAAGACTGGAGAATACAACCAAGTAGCTACAGTATTTATACCTAAATCCAGTCTGAGTCATATCTACAACTAATGAGTCATAGGGCTATGTACCGCATGGAGCACTGGTCATGGGTTGTAGTAGAACCTTCCGGAGCATATGTCGCGCAGCCTCGAATCGATAGAGATAACCCCTGGAACCCCTAGCCCGGACCGTCTGATGCCGTGATCCGTGATAAGATAAGTCGTGCCAAGATAAGATAAGATCGCCAATGATAAGATGAAAAAGAGTCGAATTATGACATGGCTCTCGCTTCTCAAAGACCTCGTTGAGAGAGAACTTGATGGCTGAGCCCAGTGCCGCCTGCTGCGATGCCGACATCGCCCGAATCCCCTTGTCTCCTTGTCCGAGCTTTGTGGGCAGAGGAACGAGATGAGGCCATCCTAAAATCATATACCCCGCCTTGAAGAGGGAGGGACCAGTGGTTTTCCACGGGAATGTCCTCAGGCTCGCACTGGTCAGTGAACCCAAGGGTTCACACCCAATCTGGGCCCAGGACAGGGCACTGAAGTCATCCAGAAGATCGTCCCAAAGGCGACTGACCCGAGCCGTACGCTTGTATCGATTAGTGGGTGGTTCCTCCATCGAATCCAAAATGGACTGGAGGCGCTCCTCGACCTCCCGCTGCGACCTGGGAGGCACAAGCAACGGTCGGAGTGCATTCCGTACCGGTACTCGTTGTCGCAGTTGAGTCATGGAGTCACTGCTGAGCACAGGACCCGACGTTGACGCATGGGTCTGAGGTGCATTGCGGGGAGGAGGCCGCGCGGGGGTGACGGCGGGGGTACGTGCGGGGGTGACGGCGGGGGTGACGGCGGGGGTGCGGGTGCGGGTGACCAGATCATTGCCAAGATCTTGGCCAGCGGTGGCTGCAGACAGCGCGTCTTGCGCCGCATCGGCGTCTTGAATCATCAGGCCTCTGAAATAAAAGTCAGTTACAAAGCACAAATGAAAAAGAGTCAAAAAAAACTGACGCAACATGATGTTGCGCTCGGCTGAGGATCTCTTCATCGCTGAGATCCCCTCGGTAGATGCTTGGAATGAACTAGACACAAATCAGCAGGATGAATGGAATCTGACTTCGAGAACTCACAGTGGCCAGCCCTTCAGTTGTGACCAGGGAAGCCAGGTGGGTGTCGTACGATGCATGGCCTCCAAGTGCAATCAAAAGCACTTGGAAGTTGCCACCGGTTTCTCCACGCTTGATCTGTTTTTTATAAGAAGATGAAACACAAAAAAGAGCTGATCACAAACCATGGCCTTCATCTTGCCGAGCCATTCATCGAAGACTTTCTGACGTTTGCCCAACGTCTGCAACTCCGTCATTTGTTCCCACTCGACGAAGGTGTCCAAGATCTCGCTCATCTCAGAGTTCGAGTGAGCTTTCAAGAACTTCGCCCAAGAATTGGCAAGTTCAGACGAGTTTTGGGCGGGGGGTTGATTATCTGGAAACTGACTGAGATCCCCACCTGTGCGTCGCTGCCACTCGGGGCCCCGAAACTGAGGGCTATTCGCGTAGCGCTGGTAGACATTCCAGTAGTAGTGTGACAATCAACCCAAAAACAAGTCGAAAAGAGAAGTGAATTCGAAGACTGGAGAATACAACCAAGTAGCTACAGTATTTATACCCAAATCCAGTCTGAGTCATATCTACAACTAATGAGTCATAGGGCTATGTACCGCATGGAACGCTGGTCATGGGTCGTAGTAGAACCTTCCGGAGCATATGTCGCGCAGCCTCGAATCGATGATGATAATCCCTGAAACCCCTAGTCCGGACCGTCTGATGCCGTGATCCGTGATAAGATAAGTCGTGCCAAGATAAGATAAGATCATCGATGATAAGATGAAAAAGTGGTCGAACTATGACATTACCCCCTCTCTAGGGTCGATGTCCTCATCGACTAGGCCAATGGGTAGGAAGACGTTCTCGTAAGGGTCGAAGAGCTGTCGTTGGGGATACGGAAGGCGCTCGTCCCTGGGCTGGTAGCAATGAATGAGATAGTCCCAGTGTCCAGCTTCGAGCGTTGGCAGGAGGCGAATGCGTGTGTCTGGATTTGATTGTTTCCTCTGCCAGTCTCTCAGGACGTCCTTTGCGTGGGTAAGGTGACGTGATGGTTCCCAGGTGTTCTCGCTGTGCGGCCATCCCTTCCATTTGACCAAGTACTGTTTTCCTCGGCCGACTTTTCGCTCTTTCACGATTTCTTCGACTTCCCACTCCTCTGCTCCTCCGATCATCTTGGCCACGGGTCTCTTCTCTCGGCGATGGGGGGGTGGTTCGTGATAGGGTGTCAACAGTGACTCGTTGAACACCGGGTGTCTTCGGTCCGTGTCCGGCAAATTCAGCTTCCATGCAGCCGCTCCAACCTTCTCCAGTATCTCGTATGGCCCTAATCTCTTGTCGCTCATCTTCTTCGAAGGCCTGTCTGTCTCGATATTTTCTCCTTCTATGTATACCTTCATCCCAACCTTCAACTCCGGAACTTCTTTTCTTTGTTTATCGTAGTATTTTTTCATTTTTTCTTTTGCTTTTTCCAATGCTGCTTTTGCTTCGTCTTGTATTTCTTTGATTCTTTTTACAAATTCCTCCGCCGACTCGTTCCTTGATTCCATCCGCTGCTCCACTCCCTTCCATGGGTGATATCCGTGATTAGCATAGAACGGCGACATTTTGGTAGATGTGTTCATTTTGTCGTTGTATGCGAACTCCGCCATTCCCAGCCACTCCGACCAGTCCGTCTGATGGTAGTTGACGTAAATGCGGAGATAGTGTTCGATCTCCTGATTCATACGCTCCGTCTGCCCATCCGTGATGGGGTGATATGCGGTCCCCGGATTCATTTCCACGCCCAACATCCGATTCGTTTCCTTCATAAAGCCCTTGATGTATCGAGAGTCCCTGTCAGTGATGATTTTGCGGGGGACCCCGTGATAGCGGAAGATTCGGTCCCTGGTTAATCGTGCTACTCCTTCGCTGCTGATGTCAGTACTAATTGGTTCGACATGGATCATTTTGGTGAAGGTGTCACACCACACATGAATTGCGTCATACCCGTTACTGACCGGCAGGGGTCCGATCTGATCCATGGAGATGATTTCCCACGGCGCGTTTGGAACTGCATGCGGGTGCAAACTCCCTGTCCTGGCTCTTCTGGTCTTGGTCCGCTGGCACGCCTCGCACGTCTGGATGTATTTCCGAATTTGGTTTCCCATCCTTGGCCACCAGTAGTTCCTTTCCACCATCTCCTGCGTTCGGTTGATCCCAGCGTGTCCGACCAAAGGTGTGTCGTGGTGTAGTCCGATGATCTTGTCTCGTAGCTCCTCATTCCTCGGCACGTAGAGCTTCCCATGGTACGTGATGAGCCCATCTTCCTTTTTCCATCCGACGAGTGACTTCTCCAAGGCCGCTTTGACGCTTCCATCAATTGATCGAGTAGCCTTGATCTCATCGATTAGCTGCTGATCTTGCCCCTCGAATGTGACTTCTTGTGACCGGAAGAATTCGGGTTTCAGCAGAGTGATATCCTTGTTGTCGTTCTTGCCCTGATCGTGATCCGCTCGTCGAGATAAGAGATCCGCCTTGCGGTTAAGTGCGCCAGGCCGGTGTCGTAAGGTGAAATCGAATTCTGCTAATTCTGTGATCCATCGTGCTTGTCGTCGGTTGAGCTTTTGTGGCTTCCGGAAGTATTCGAGGTTCTGATGATCAGTGAAGATCTCAAACGTTTCTGTGGCCCCCAAGAGTAGCTGCCTCCATTCGTCGAGCGATAACATGATTGCAAGCATTTCCTTGTCGTAGATCTCGTAATTTCGCTCGGTTTCCGTTAATGCATGCGAAATAAATGCAATTGGGCGCCAAATGCCGTCTTGGTTTTGGCTCAAAACAGATCCTGTTGCCCCTTCCGAAGCATCGGCTTCCAGACGATATTGACCGGTGTCATTTGGCAGTGCTAAGACGGCATCCTCCGCGATTCTCTTCTTTAACCCATCAAACGCCGCATGTTCATCCGGACCCCATGACCATCCTGCCTTCCCTGTCAGCCGCGTCAATGGCTTGGCGACCTCCGCATATCCCCAAACAAAACGTCGATAAAAGTTTGTGAATCCGAGGAAGGCTTGGACTTGTTTGACGCTCTTTGGTTCCGGCCATTCCATCACGCCCTTGATCTTGACAGGGTCCATCCGCATCGAGTTGTGTCCAATGATTACACCCAGGTATTCGATTTCCGTGCGTTCGAACTCGCACTTTTCCGGCTTCAGGTATAATTTGTGCTTTTGAAGCAACTCGAGTACCCGTTTGGTGATTCGTCGATGTTCATCCAGATTTTCTGTGAAGATTAGTATGTCGTCCAGATAAACTACCACATGTCCCTCGTTGATCGGTTCCCGGAGTATGTCGTTCATCATGTTTTGGAAAGTTGCCGGGGAATTCGTGAGACCAAAGAACATAACCAAGGGCTCGTAAAGTCCGCGGTTTGTGCAAAACGCAGCCTTCCACTCATTGCCCTCTTTGATCCGTACGTTGTTGTATCCCCACCGGATGTCTAGCTTGGTGAAGAACTTGGCGCCGCACAGGTTGTGGACCAGTTTGGAAATCAGCGGTAGCGGGTACCGATTTCGGATCGTCATCTCATTCAGCTTCTGGTAATCTTGAACAGGCCGTAGCGAGCCATCCTTCTTCTTGACAAAGAAAAATGCCGATGCCATGGGTGATTTTGATGGCCTGATTCGTCCGCTGGCTAGGTTCTCTTGTAAGAACTCGTCGAGTTTGACCTGCTCGTTTCTCGATAAGGGGTACACCTTGCAGTCCACTGCTTTGGAGCCTGGTTTGAGCTCGATCGCATGATCCCATGCCCGTCGGTCCGGTAGCGAGTCGAATGATTCCTTGGCGAATACTTTGACGAATTCTCGGTATTGATCTGGAATCTTTCCCTCGGTCATTCTCTCCTTCTCCTTTTCCGCTTCTTCTGCGAATTTCTGTGCCGGCGTTTCCTTCAGCCGTAGGTCTACCTCCTTTCCAAAGTCGATCAACAAGATCGATTCTCCCTCTTCCAGATCCGGTGCACCCGCGTCCAGGTCAATTGCATCCATGTGGTCATCGCTTGGTGCTCCTCGTGACCCCTCATTTGACATTGCTCTGGGCATCGGCTGAATCTCATTGTCTGCTCCTGCCAATCCACCTCGGGGTTGTGTTCCGTCAGCCAATCCAGGCCGATGAAGATCCGGGCTTTTCCCAGACACGTCAGAAGGAACGTGCGTGTCTCCACATGAGGACCGATTCTCATTCTCAAGTCGACGTAGTGCGTGATCCGACCGCTGATGTTCTCGGTGTTGTCAGCGTTCCGAGCCACAATGGGTTGCGGAAGCTCTTGGATATCCAGCTTTTCTGCCCGTGCGTAGTCGGTGTCAATGCAGCAGGTACTGCAGCCACTATCGAGCAGCGCCTTGACTCCACGCGTTTTCCCTGAGTCCAGGCCCGTGATCTGGACATATACGTCCATCGAATGCCTCTTTCTTTCGGCTTGGTAACTGCGCAATTCCTGCGCCAATCTGCTGGGCTGGGGGCCCTTCTGTTTCTCGGTCGCCAATTTCCTCTGGATGGCATCTGGCACCCTGGTGCGTTTGGGTGCTTCTGGAACCTCGATTTTGGCAGATTCCTTGGGCGCTTCCTCCTTTTCCAAGGATCGAGCCTTCGGAGCGATGCTCCCCTTTTCGGTCTTTGTTGACGTGGTTCCTTCTCCACGAGCCATAAATACGTAGGAGTCCAAAAATAATTTATCTGCAGCTTTCTGATCCTTTTTATCTTGTAAGTATTTTCTATTTAGAGCTATCTTTTCCTGGCGTTCTTTTTCCATCTCGGCAATAAGAAAATCGTGAATATTTGTACGTAGTGAGTCTGAGATCGTGTATGTAGATGAAATATTGTCCGTATCTTTAATCGAAACAAGTACAGAAAATCGTCCATAGTCCGGACGCTCCACCTCCTTGGCTAGAGGAGTGGAGCGCTTCAAAAACCCTTCTCGCGCAGCTTCTCGGCAATCTCCTTCAGGAACTCGTTGTCCTTGTCCCCGTTCTCGATTTCTTCCAGCATTGTGGCCCGATTGAAGAACGTGCGCTTCTTCTTGGGCTCCGGGCAGTTCCGCGCAATGTGCCCGGGCTGCTGACAGTTGTAGCAGATGATATTGCGGCCGCGGGCGTGGGTACGATCGATTTCCATCGGAACCGGTTCGTTGGCAGCGGGTCGGGCCGGAGCGGGTGTGGGCGCCACTGGTGCCGTTTGGGGACGGAACTGGGGAGGTGGTCGTTGTGTGGGGTGCCCATACGACGCTTTGCGCAGCTGGTCACGCAGAGCATTGGCTTCGATGTTGATGCACCAGGCTTTGAACGCTCCATAGGCCTTGGGCAGAGGGACACCGGTGTTGTAGAGACGGCTGGCGATCTCGCTGCTGAGTCCGCGCTCCAGGAACTCGATGAGGATATTATCCTGGTCCCCCTTCTTGTATTCGCCTTTGTCGTCGGTGGTGTCAACCACATTGTAGCCTGCATCCGCGGCCAACATCTCAAAGTCGGAGATGTAGTCCGCGAAGGACCGTTTGTTTTGACGCAGGGCCATAAGCCGAGCAGCGGCGACTTGTTCCGCATTGGAGTCCCCGAACGCCCTCTGAAACTCCTCCAGGAAGTTCTTTGATGTGACTCCTGCCTTCAGTCCCTGGAAGCCATCGAAGTTGTGCTGCTTCCAGTTCATCGCCCATCTCGAGGCAGCGCAGCTCGTGCCGTTCTCGTTACGGAGGTAGGAGAGGACAAAGAGGATTTTGGTCTCATCTTGTGAGAACTCCGATCGATAGGCACCGATGTAAGTGGTGCACGCGTCCACAAAGCCCAGGTATTTGGACTTGTCGCCATCGAAGTAGGGGGGGTTGGCGGCGAGGGTGATGCGGTGATGCCCTGACATGGTAGGGGCAGGCGTGTGAGGTGGAGGCGAGGGTGGTTGTTCGGAGGGCAGTTCGTCGAGGTCGGGGATCTCGTCTTCAGGCGGTGGGAGGGCGAGGTAGGGGTTGGAGGGCCCGGGTTGGTTTTGATGCGCCAGATCGGGCGACGATGGTATGATGGGGGGAGGGGACGGACTCCCAGACGACGATGGGAATCGGTACGAAATGGTGGAATCGTGTGCTGTACAAGCACTCGAGGGAGGGTTCTTTTGCTAGCAAAAAGATCCCGGGCCTAGCTCTTCACGTGCCCGATGATCCCGAGGTGCGTTTTCCCGAAGGTCTCCGCAGCACTCCTTGTAGCTACCGTAAGGCTTGGGTCGGGCTCAACGTTACCCGTGGCCTGGTGCTGTTTGCTTGATATGAACCCTTCACTGCGATAGTGGAGGACGACTAGATGATTCGGTAAAAGGGTGAGTGGGGTGATAAGGTTTTAAGAGGATATAGCGGGCGTAGCGGTGCGGGATGCAGGGTAAGAGGTATGAGGTAGGAGGGTATGAGGGGAGTCTTCGAATTATGTGACAATCAACCCAAAAACAAAGTCGAAAAGAGAAGTGAATTCGAAGACTGGAGAATACAACCAAGTAGCTACAGTATTTATACCCAAATCCAGTCTGAGTCATATCTACAACTAATGAGTCATAGGGCTATGTACCGCATGGAACGCTGGTCATGGGTCGTAGTAGAACCTTCCGGAGCATATGTCGCGCAGCCTCGAATCGATGATGATAATCCCTGAAACCCCTAGTCCGGACCGTCTGATGCCGTGATCCGTGATAAGATAAGTCGTGCCAAGATAAGATAAGATCGTCGATGATAAGATGAAAAAGTGGTCGAACTATGACAAGTAGCTGCGCGGGGAAAACAGAGTCGGATACTGCTTGTGCAGCTTCGTTTTGACCTGGCTCTCAGTGAAGCCCGTAAGCTTGGCGGTCTTCGTCACGATGAGCCCGATCTGCTCTGCAGCATCCGAAATGAGATCCCGCTGTTCTTGGGAACGATTCTTGACACCCTCTCCCAGTCCTGCGTCGTCCTCGGTGTTCGCAGAGGTCCCTGCGCCGGTGGCAGGAGCTCGCGGGGTCGGGGTCGGGGTCGGGGGCAGGGCGTTGTTGTCTTGGGTGCTGTTGGTATCATCAGAAAAGACAAATACAGACGAAGAAGTTTCAAAAACAGACCCAGAACTTTGGGCAGGCTGGGTGGAAGCTTCCTGTTCTTCGAAGCTCGAACGAGGCGGTGGGCTGGTGAGCAAGAGTTGGGGCGACTGCGCAGCCCACTGCATGCCCGGAGGATCTTCGTCGTTCATTTCGTCGTCCCTTATTTCGTCGTCCCTCATCTCCTCGTCCCTCTTTTCCTCGCCGCTCGTTTGCTCGTCGATTGCCGATATGCGCGGTTGACTATCCTTTGAGGAGCTGTCGGCGACAACGCCATGCTGATCGTCCGCGGCCGCGTCTGTCTCGGCTGCCAGCTCGATAGATCGCAACGGGTCTTGGATTGTTGAAGGGCTCGGGGCACGGGGACTACCGACCGGAGAGGGGAGGTCACCAACAGCGTCCCAAAGAGCGCCTGAAGAGTCCACGTCCTCGAGCGACAACCCCGTCCTTGCTTGCCCAGAGGAGGATGCGGGGGGGGCGCGGGTGGTTGTGGCGGCGTTGGCGTTGGCAACTGCACTAGCGGACAACCGGGCCTGCCGCGCCGCATTTGCTGATCGTGCCAACCCCGCCCCTTTGCGCGACGCAGTGATCTTCCCTCTCAACTCGACCCCACCTCCATCCTGCAAGGGCAGATCCTCGTCGTCGCTTGGAGCGGGGAAGAGCGTCCTGATGGCTTCGAGGGGGGGAGATCGGGCGACAGTGTCTTGATGGGCGGTACGGACAGCGGCGGTGTCTTGAGCCGCGCACGCGGCGTTGTTGTGGTCGCTGACGGTGGGCCCAGGGGTGCAAGGATTGGATGATGCGAGGCGGCGAGCACGGGTGTAAGGAACCCAGAGATTGGTGGAGGAGATGGCAAGGGCCAGGTGCTGCGCTGCGTTGAAGGCCCATCGCTGAAACAATGAACAAAAAACGCGGTAGAGCATGGGAGAGAACTCACTTGAACGGATCCACTATCCCGTCCGATGCACCCGACCCAGAGGCGGCAATGCCGGGAAGAGGGTGGCCGGACGTGTCTCCGTCCTCCTTTCGATGCTCAGGGTCCATGCAATCACAGATTTCGATGTTTTCGCAAAATGGGGGGGAAGCAAGTTTTGAGACGCGTGGTGAAATCAGCGGTTGGATGTCGCGTCAAACGCAGAAGGAGTGGAATATAGACCGTGCAAAGAGGCTAAGGGAGAAGTTCGAGGTTAGTGAACGCGAAATGCACGTCACAATGTCACCTACAAGATGGACACCCCAGGAGAGGAGGGCTGAGGGAAAAGGCGCGACAAGTGGCTGTGCAGAAAGCAAACAAAGCCAAGCGTGACACACCCCCGCGCAAGTCATTCTCACACAAAAAGCACCCCCGCGTAAGCCCCCGCCAAGAGCGGATCACAGTTGCGGCGCCTGCCGCACCAGTAGTACTACCCCCGCCAACTTTCCACCCGATCCCTCCGGCTTTTACACGTAACATGAGTCATTAGACATCCCGGAACACGTCAGTCAGCAGCCAATCACAGAGCAAATAAACGTCGTACACAAATGTACCAGAGAGCTATAGGCGACTGGGAGGTGTTATGTGCTCGGAAATCGACGGATTTTATTCCTTTCACACCCCTCTACCATTCCCAAACATCAGGCTATGTTATTCCGTCTGTGAGTTTGGGCTGCTCGAAAGATGGTCAACGAGAACTAAGCTTCGCAATAACTTGCTGCTGACCTTCATCGTTAAAATGGGTCGTCGTGCAAAATTTCTGACGGAGGCTGATCGGAAAGTCGGAAAGGCTACCAGAGACCAGAAATATGTCTCCAGTGCTTGGTATGGTCTTATCGGCATCGTGGATCTGTTCTTATGACAGAGATTATAATCTGCAGTGGACAAGCACAGCGAAGATCTACACGAGCTATGATAAAGAGCCATGGCGGGGAGGCTTTGAGAACTCTTCCAAACGCTGTCGCGCCGCCTCAGGAGTTGATTGACTACGCAAGACTGGCAATCCCAATAGAAAACGACTTGTTTCGACGCGCGCTGTGCGATCCCACCACACTAGACCTATCGGGATGTGAATGCTGGATTTCAGAGCCTCCTTTCACTCCTGCCGAGGATCCCATTCTGATCAACTCACCTGGCTACTGCGTCTACACATCGAATCTCAAAAATGTCATGCATGGATCTCGAGCTCGCCTCCAGGAGTCCGCGGACTCAAAGAATAGGCTGTTATTTCAACAGGGAGAGATGGTTGCTTTGGAAAGCGATGCTGCTGCTATTCTCGCGCGCTGGGAGAAGGCATTCCAGCTGAAAGAGCAGGGACTTTACCATGAGCACAAGTTCTCCCGTGAATGTCAAATGTTAGAGCACTTTCTACAGTGGGAGGCAATAGGTTACATGACACTGTACAGTCTTTCGTTCTTGTAGAATAATCATACATGGATTTGTACGGAAAGGCACCCCCGCATCAGACCCCGCCCGGGGTCATCAAAATGACCAAGAAAAGCGGCACCCCCGCATCAGACCCCGCCGAGGGTCATCAAAATGACCAAGAAAAGCGGCACCCCCGCATCAGACCCCGCCCTGGGCCATCAATAAGACCAAGACAAATGGCGCCCCCGGAAAAGACGGTGCTCCTGGGCCTGCTCCTCCCCCTGAGCCGGAATTTTGACAAGGTGATCATTTCAAGCGTTGAGATCACGCGTCAGGTAGCCAAGGAAGAGTAAGAATGAGGTTTGTAAGAGCATGGCGAAAGAAAGGAATTTCATCTTGGGTGATTTTGGATGCTAACCGTCCGCAAAGAACAGTGGCAATCATGACAAGAATCCAAACACCGCAATCGTGATTGTTTCGCTGGACAGCTGTGGAGATCATGGTTTCGGCGGTCCAAGCTTCCCCATCTGTGCTCAAAGGAAGGGCATGTCCATTTCGATGCGCAAGGAGGGTCATGCGAGTGAGTAGTAACATAACATTCTGCAAATTATAAGCTTCCACATTGAGAACAAGCGTGAAAAGCACCTTTGTATCAGTATGCCATGGACGCTTTTGAGCCAAACTGTCGAAGAGTAGAAGCTTCTGCTCGTCCACAAGGACGATGACAAGGACCCAGTGCTCCTGGGCTTGTCGATGAACTGGAATAATCCAAATCGATTTGTTCCAATATTCAGTTGGAGCAAGATGTTTCCAGAGATCTTTGTCGGGAGCGTTAAAACGGACTCGATGAAGATCATAAGTGGATAGGAGGGCACATCTATGAGCTGCCTGTGCGTGTGGGGAGAATGGCTGGAGGCACAAAGAAAGGATCGCTGCTGAAGCAGCATTTACTATATGTCCATTGAGTCGAGCTGTGCAGACTGTGAGGAGCTGCAGGTCATCTGGATATACCGCAGCATTGGGAAGCTTTCCGGGGAGCACAACAATGCGAGGTCGATGATCATGATTGACAGGGAGATTCCTGACATGTGCTGTGAGATCTCCCAAGAGCTGGGGGTCGCAAGCGGATCGAGACTGTTTCAACTCAGTCTTGGCAACTTCACAATATATGCGGTCCACTTGCCGCTGAGAGAGATGCCCAAGAAATTGGAACGTTGCAATTATCCCGTTCAATTGTTGCCGTGTCTTCATCTTCGTCCATTTCCATTAAATCCATTGCAGCCAGAGCCTCCTCTGAGTCAGAATGACATGTATCAAGGTCATCTGGGGACGCTATTTCAGAATCAGCAAGTGGGGACTCATTCATGTCATCCTCAACACGATCCGCTTCGACTGGATCCGGCGGGGGTCGATCTGCGGGGTCTGATGCGGGGTCGCCCAGAACCCCGCCTGATGGTGTGATGGCGGGGTCTCTGACAGAAACATTGGCGGGGGCTGACGCGGGGGTCAACGCGCGGGGGTCAGTAACCAGCCTGGGCTCCACGGCCAGGAGCAGTGGTTGTGGGATTTTTAGTTGACGCCGCCATCTTGCAGAAACTCGTGAGAGAAAGTCGGACTGTTTTTGAAGCTCGTGTTGGAGCACAGAATCTAGCACAAAGAGTGTCAAAGAACATGCACATAAGTTGTGGGAACGTACTTTCATCATTGTGCAATGCCTGAGAAATCAACGAAGTCTCCTGGTTGATCCAGCGCAGCATGTTTTCACTCTCTCTCCCAAGTCTAAGCTCTTCCTCATGACAGCGGTCAAGTACATGCAGACTTGTGATGCCTTCACGGACACGATCATCAGAAAGCCACAACGGGACAGCTCCCTCCGATGGAGAAATCCAGATATCTTCAAAGAGATTTGTGTGAGATTTGAGCTCATTGAGTTTGGTCGGCAGAGGGACAGGAATGGGAACAGAACAATGAGGCGGCTGAATTTCTTCCAGTCGGGAGCAAAGAGAGTTGAACTTGTCAATCAGGCGATGAAGAGTAGGCTGACGCTTCGAAAGGGCCTTCCGGGCCGCTTGGTGAAGCTTCGTACCTGAATTTCCAGTATGAATTTAGAAGGGACACGGCGGGGGCGCAGACGGGGGTGCTGGGCGGGGGTGCATGCGGGGGCAGACGTACCCAGTGGCTCACGGCGTCCTTGAACAGCACGATCCAAGTTCTCCCACTCCAAGAATGTGCCAATCGCTTGCTTACGGATCTGTAGCTTGAGATCCCTCATGAGTAGGAGCGTTTGAACAAATTCAAAAGGGAGTCCAGCCAGTTCTGGATAATGAGTCTCGAGATCAAGTGAAGTGTACAGGCGCTCAGCTTGATGACTGAGCTTGACCTGTGTGGACTGTAGATCCTTTATCGCTTCATGAGCTGACTGCGAGCTCAGTCTGTCTCCGATAGTCTTCTGAAGTTGTTCCAGTGTGTCTTCAATTTCTTCAACTTGGTTTTGAAGGCCGACAATTTTGCCGAGGTCGCGTTGGACACGGACCGGCGGGCCTGCAAAAAAATTGGAAAAAAAGCAATTTCCAGACGGCAGGTGACATACTGGATCGGAGTGATATCTGAGCATTCAATTGTGCCTGCCATTGACCACGCAGGTCTGAGATAGTTACACCCGCACTATTAATCCTCTTGGTTGCTTGATTTGATTTCTGTGGAATGTTTTTATTGCGCTGACGTTCAATCCAGCTTGCCAGATTGGTAATGCCTTCACAATTGACAAATTCGACGTATTCATCAAGGGTGGCTATGCGACGTGAGCCCTGTAGATAATTCAGAAGCATGGAAGGCAGTTGCAATTCGGGGTACCCATTGATTCCGAGTGAGAGGTATCAGCTTTCTGATTCTTGACCACAATCTCTCGACACCTTCAGAGTCCGTGAGACCCATGCCCAACTTCATGCGTGGGTTGTAAACGAGTTGGCAGACCCATTGATGTCCGAAAGCATGCATAACATTGAGGGAGAATGATACCCGAGGCCGTAACTTGTCAGAAAGGATGGGAAACTTCAGAATCTCGTCAGCCATGATCAAGCAATTCAGCGGGGGTGCGGCGGGGTCAGGCGCGGGGTCCATGGCGGGGGTGATGGCAGGGGGGAGTACAGAAGAAGACACATACCAAATGGTTACTCCGGTCAAGAACGCAACCCACATCATAGCATTGCATGATAGTTGCGTTGGGTGGGAGATATGACGCTACTTTTTCCAGCAGTGCAATAATATAGTGCTGCTGCTCTCCTGGAGTATTTATGTCGCACATGAACAAGACTTGTGAGTGGCGGCATGTCAGAGCGAAAATGCCGGTGGAGTCATAACGCTTAGGATCTCCTTTCTGCTTGTTCTCATTTGCCGCTGTCCACGACTCCCCACAGGCATCCACTATCTCTGATGGAATCGGAGAATCTCTGAACGGTTTCGGCGATTTCCGTGCCAAGATCACAGCCTCTTGAACCCTGTGGACTTCTTCATGTGTGAGGAAGTAGTCCTGGTTGAACAAGGATGGACCTGTGCCCGCGGCTCGGAGATGCCGGTAGCTGAAGCAGCCATCGGCACCAAATTGGACGTCACCGCCACTGAAAATCTTCGCGTCAGATCCTTCTGAGAGCGGAAACAAGGGAGAATCGAACGCGGAGAGTGGGCGGCCCCAGTCCTTGAGGGA